AAATAATATGCTACAAAGGGGCGGACTGGCCATCTGTGTGTTGAACTTTCCTGTCGGCTCCCAGACCGTAGTCGAGGAGGGCAGAAGCAACAAGCTTCAGGTTCAATAACCCACTTTAGATGAAATGACTGGAGAGAGGCGAGCTCTTCTTGGGAGGCCGTTGCATTTATTTAGCTGTTCTTCTGTTTCACAAAATACATCACAGACCTCTGTTTTTCTGCTTCCTCGTTTCACTTCCAGAAACATACACACGTTCCCTCACTGTCTCTCTATCATCCACAATCACACATGCACAAGCCACACCCCTCTCTCTCTCTTAAAGGGACAGCGATCTCATCTCACTGTGCATGACCCTAATATCATAACATGTGTGCTCTGGAGAATCACAGAACGGAAGATCGTTCTTATTATTATGCCGTTCAAACCAATTATTTAAATGTGTTTGTTAAATTCGGCATCATGTAAATTGCGCTGACAGGTCCACACACTGCTTCCCCGCAGCGAGGCTCCCCCGCCCTCCTGCTGATAGTTGACAAGCGTCAAGCTCCTCACCCCCCCCCCCTCGTTGATAATAGGGCACACTGATAAAACATTTTTTTTACCCCTGATCTAAATGTTTCATCAGCAATTAAAAAACAGACATTTTTCACTCAAAATGGAAAGCTCTTTGGCTAGGCTTGGCAATAACCAAACAATCGATACCTAAACTAATGAAAAAAATCAATGGATCAATTTGATGACATTGACAGCATAATTATTACAATCTCTGCAGTATAAGTCGAGTGTTTCCCTTAAACTGTACGGACAGAAAGGTTGAATGGAAACTGAAACACTGTTTTAGCAGACAATACCTTACCCTACAGTTGCATATGCATCTTCACTTTAAGAGGTGTGTGTGTGCTTGCGTGCGTGCGTGCGTGCGTGCGTGCGTGCGTGTGTCAGATGGCTTACAGAGACTGAAGAGATTGAAGGTTCTTCAGGGCAGCACTGGGCACAGTCTTCAGCTGATTATTCTGGAGCATCCTGAAGGTAAAATAGCAAAATTATGATTTTCACTCAACTCACAACACTTTTACTTCAATGATATAATCCTTGATACATTATATGACTATGTAATGGAGGCCTTTGATGGGTTCATGATTTTTCACAAAATAAAAAACAACTTTTGACACATTACGTATTTAACATTATGTGCGCTTATTGGGTTACAGTATTTGTAAAAAGCATGTTGTCCATGTGTTTGTGTTTTCAGACATGTAACCAAGATCTCACCTGAAGATCAACAGGACTTTGAACTTTTGGCCCGTTGCAGAATCAACAGGGCAGCGCTTTGTGTGTCGCTCAATGTGTTTGAGTCTGTGCAAGTAAACTAGGGTGTGCTGCCCCGTGTAAATTATGCAGAACTAATTTTTACACAGGGCTTGGGTGCATGCTCCATTAGGTGTTTTTACAACCAGAGATACTGTTGAGGGCAAAGGTGGAAAATCAAATGTAAATGCAATGGTATGACTTTGTTTGGGTGGCAATAACTGACAGCGCCACAACGTTACCACAAACTGCACAATGTTCTCTTGCCCGCAGTGTTTGGAAAACTTCACACCGTCACAGGCATAAGTGTGTGTTTGTGTGTGTTGACAGGGAGGGGGCATGCTTACAGGACTTTGAGCTGATGCAGTCCAGACAGGGCATCAGGGTGGATGAATGACAGGTCATTCCCGGCAAGTCGTCTGTGGTGAGAGAAAGAGTCACACTTATGTTTTGGAAATGTCTCAAATGTTTCAAATGACATAAAAGGAACACAGTTCAACTAAACCACAGAGTGTATTTGATTTCAGCTTAAAGCAATGCATAGTGTTTAAAGAACGTCTCCCCATCCAGCACTTCAGTAGATTAGGTTCCAACTCTGAAGCTGAACATGGGCCCTGGGGTGTCAAAGACATGCGTCTGTGCCATGGCCTGTTGTCACTTCGTCTGTCACCCACAAGAGATTAGAGCTGTTCCTGGATATCCCCCCTCTTGAGATCCCTTTCTGAGCCTCCTAACCATTACTATGCAGTGCTCCCTATAGAGAGAGTGACAACCTGATTCACCCCTCTGAAGCCGACACAACAAGTGTAGCCTTGTAACATTTATCACTAGCCAGCTTCTGGAGTTCCTTCATGAATTGCTTGAGATGGAGGGGGACACCTCCCTTTTCTGTTGGAAACAGGAAGTGTTTAGGAAATAAGGTTGTAAATAAGCATGGGGCAGGCTGACTAGGACACACAGCACAAGTATACTATCTGGCCCGAGAGATTAGCAACAGATTTATCACTCTGCAACGTGAGTCGGACCAGGCTGAATTCCCTGCAACAAGAGCTGCTGGGTGTGAGCCTGAGAATCAATGCTGACTGTGTTAGAAGACCATGTTCCCTTCACGGAGTCTCAACACTGCTTTCTGTTTGTCTGCCTTTAATGTCACTGAAATAGAGACCTCGATCACTGAAACGCATTATTGCATCAACATTAAGGATGAGAGTGAAAATAACAAATAAATTACCTCTTTTTACAAGTATACTGTAACCAAATATCCCTCACTAAGGTTTGCCCCCCAACGAAAGCTTGTTTTTCTTTCAATTTATAGTGTTCACAAAAGTTTTAACAGATCTACTGCTGGTAACAATGTGTTAATCCCAATTCACAAATATATACAATGATACGCAATGCAGACACAAATCGGTAACAGTCTGTAAGCATTACCTATCTTAAGTATGATAGTGTGACCCAAACCTTACATTTGTGCATGAGTATTAAAAAAAGTTGTACTAAAGCATACATTGCTGTAAGTGTAACATCCAAAAGACTAAACAATAATTGATTGACTAGAGCTAGTCACATAAATCGTATATCAAAATTATAATCCGGTTATTTTACAGACGATGACTAACATTAACATGTACATAAGCCACCTGTGCTTCAGGTCATTCATTTTGTGTTAAAATAATCCGAAAATAACTGCCTTACTTGGAAAATTCACATATACTTTGAAAAACGTATTTTCTTTATAGTGTCCATGTTGATCAACATGAAGCTGGAAGAGCAACTTCCCAACTCAGGAAATGGGACCATCCGAGGAGCATGTGAATGCACCATTAGGCTTTGCAGGGGTCTGCACTCCTGAGTGATATTCTAATTCACGTTCTCTACATTGTGATTCACCTTGGTATTTTTGACTCTGCCCTTTTAATTAAATTAAAATCTAGTGTGATGCAGTTGAATACAATGTTGCTGTGCTTGTAAATCGAAAGCTTGGTTGAGCTTGACAGGAGAGCAAGTGAGTCTGTTATTAAACAGAATAAAGAAAACAGCTTACTTAACTGAATACTAAAAGGTTCTTTGATCATTTCGTTGTTTCTATGTTTTAATTTAACTATGAACATTTAGTTAGAAAATATTGGATTTGGTGTGACACAATTATGTCTTATACAAGACCCCAACAACAGCAGACACACTGCTCTGAACTCACAGGCTGTCTTTTCTGTTTGATTTAATGTGGTTGACCAAAGTTGTCAGATGAGGACGTGACTGCTCATTAGCTTTTTAAAGAAGGCTGTCATTGCAGTTTGACTTGGCTTTGAGACAAACCCATTGAATAGCTTTCAAAGCTGGAATCCCAAACAATGCGCCTCCACTCAGCCACCATTTGTCAAGAGAATGTCTTGTGACAGCTTAAATAAGAAATAAGAATGTAATTCTAAGAACATAATCTGCAGTTATATTCATGACTAGAGTACAAGTTGTCACATGCACATGGATGCCTATAAATTCAAAATGACATGAGTCTTGTCTGCAGCTGTTCAGTCATTCTTGTTTTGCAACATAGTGACCCATAGGCTGATGTCAATATGACTTAATTTCATGAGAACTCACACAACCAAGAACCTGCAACCATTGTCACAAGCGGCTAACCACTAAATGCAAACATGGTTTGACAAATCATTCAGATATCCTTCAGGTTTCACAACATAAAGAGCTTCTCCTCCTTCATCTTTCAGCAGATTCAGTGCACGTCCCCCCAGGCTTCGACGAGTAAAGAAGACATTCTTCTTTACAAGATTTAGCACATTGCTAAATCTTGTTGAGGAAAGGCTAAATCCTCTCCTTGTGAAACACCACTCCCACAGGTCTACCTTTGTCAAAGGCAATTCACAAGTAGCCCTGTAGTGCACTCTAACAATAAAGGGCTACAGACAGGATTTACCACCAACAAATATAAACATTATTTTGTTTGCAGCAACAATACAATTCGTTTTTTTAGTAAACTACTCTTGTATAACCAAAATAAGCTCCCTTCCCCCTTGACACGCTCCCACATGTACAGTGCACACCTTGTTGTTGGGATAGGTGGCTGTGATAACAAGCTTGCGACTGCATTTATGTCCATCTTGGCAATGAAGATATTGCAATTTCCAGGCATTATGTAATTATAAGTGAGTTTTTTTAATTGCCTGACGAGATAAACGTCAGGTAAGTAAAGGAAAGGTTTCATTCATTTTCCCACAGACAGTACTGGAGCACTTCTGCTGTTTGGATCAGCATGGAGCTTTCCTGTTTAAATCATCAGTGCAATTTATTAAAAACTATATAAAAACTAGATATTAAACTATCTAGTTCTTTGATTACATAAATACGAACCGGTTTCTAAGTTACAAATCTGTGTCCATAAGTTGTCTGGGTTACATGTTAATTTATGGTAATAAAACACATTTTACAACATATTTTACAGTCTGCAGTTTAACATTTATCCTGTATTCTTCTGTAGTTCTAAGTGACTTTGCTGGCCACTTAAAGAGCATTAAAGGTCCTTTGAGAGTGCTACTGTTAGGGTAACTGTGTTGAAGCTGAGCTAGCATCTGCAACAACAAAAAAAACATTGAAATCAAACAGACAAGCTTATTTTTAACAAAACAAATGTGTGTAAAGCTGGAAACACTAGTGTAGAATCCCGATTTGTACTATAATTGATCAGGACAAGAATATCAAAAGATCATTTCATGCCATACAGTATAACGTTATCATTATTATTGTCACTAGGATTAATTGTAATAATATGGATTTTATGCCATATAATTCAGCCACATTCATACCCAATAATAATGACCAAGGAAAACTTTATTTATAGCACACATTTCATTAAAATGAGAGCTAGACCATGTGTTTGAATAAGATGAAGAGACAAGAACAAATACACAGCTGCAACAGAAATACAAATAAAGGTTAAAACAACAACAATAAAATAACAAAATGCACTTTAAATCATTCTGTCAACAAAAGGCAACATATTGACAACAAACTGGCCCTCATGTCATTACCACAATTCACAGAAGACACATAGAGAGCCCATTGGTCACAGATCACTTCAAGACTATAAACAAACCGCTAAGGAAACAGAGAATACCTGTCATCACGTCTGCTGAGCTTTGTGGTGCCTCTGGCAAGAGAGTAAGAGAGCGGAGGAGATTGCGTGACTACGAAGGAAGAAATATTCCTCCCCCGTCTCCGCTCCCGTCCTGTGTGAAGATGCCCCCCTCTCTTTCTCTCCCTGATCTCTTTCTGTCAACTCTTTCTCTCCCTGTCTTTGCCCTCAGGGCCCCCGCTCTGGTTCACTGACACTGCAGCAGCCCTGGAGCCGAAAAGTCACCCAGCAAAGTTCACCGAGACGACTCTGCACATTTGTTAGAGGAGGTTAAACAAACACACATATGCACTAAGGGTATATGTCAATCAATGACACCCTGACGACAGTCCATCCATCATGAGCACCTAGAGGTGAAAAGGTAGCACTGAGACCTTGTGGGTGCGGGGTGGGATTATTTTTTCACTTGTGTTTCCATGGAAACCATTGTTTTGCCCTCTTCCTTCCTGTCTTGCATACTTCCACACAATGTGATGAAAAGTAAATTGCCTTTTTGACAAAGCAGATTGGAGTGGTGTATGGAAAAGTGGAAGATTTGGGCAGCTGAAAGATGCACCAGAGCTTAATAAAAATACTACGCTCGCACAGACTGTGACACAGTGGAGCTGGAACCGCTGGAGTTTGTTCACCGAATGGTCACTTTGCTTTCTCAGGGCTGCATGTTACCTGATATCAGGTAGACAGATTTTAATCTCTGACTCCCAGCAGCTCCGAGCCAGACAGGGGAGTGTTTAAAGAGCAAAGAAATAACAAACACTCACTAAGATTAGATGTACGCCACTCAACAAAGCCCCAAAGCGCAGATGTGCTGTTGCCACCCTGATAATCCCTTAAAAGCAAAAATCAACACAGGATGTCACATGATCGTTGCTTCAATACATGATGTCTCACCTCACTTTTTTTTCTTTTTTTTTTTTTTCTTAAAATTGAGCTTTACTGCACCTTTTATATTTCATGAATGATTGAGTGACTTGTCACCTCATGTAATGCTGTGCTTATCTTCTTCGGCTGAGAAGAAGGGCATGTTCTGCACCTATACTGTGTGTTCTGCAGTGCAAACTCAAATACCCAGGTGCATATCATAAGAGTAAATACATCATTAGCAGGAGAAACACGGGGCATGTACTTACAGTTCTTCCAGATAGGGGAGGTTCTTGAACACAAATGCTGGAAGCTCGGTGATGTTGTTCATGCTCAGGTCACTGTGGAAACAAATGATCAGTTAGAAACACAATAAAAATCTCTAGCTTCACTTAAATGTAGTTAGTTTTAAAAGATCAGTTTTGAACACTTTCACTTTGCAAAACCTATTTTACCCTTGCCCTAATTTTATATAATTATTGAACAATTCGGCCATTTAAATTGTTGTATTGCTTTGACTGTGAAGCCCTTTCAGAACTGAAATAAAACTGCAATTAATTATGGCAGTCAATAATGAAGATTCTATAATTGTTGTATAAGGCCTTATTTTGCATGCATATAAGACATTAAGATTATGTATTTGACTGCAATAATAAACTATGTTTAGGACAAACGTATACTTGCAGTTTTGTCACCAAACATTTATGGCAAGTCTTTTGATTGTGCCGGCATGACTTCAACCTCAACCCCGTAAAAAAAACGTTGAAAAAGCTCTTCGCTTTAGCCTCAGGGATCTTCATTTTTCAAACCAACTTTCAGGTAAAGATAGGCATGTAGCAGCATGAAAAGTATGCACACAGGACTTGATTTGCTTCCCCACCAAGACTAATATGAATATAGTTTACAATCATCAGTTATCATTGGGAAAAAAAACACAAGTATGTGCTACTGGAAATGTTTTGAATGTACCAAAGTGAGGGACTGTCATAGTAAGATTGGATAAAAAATGCTGTCTTGATGAGATCTACACAATGAGAGCAAATTCAGCTCTGGACCCTTATCTTGATCGCAGATCCACCAACCTGCTTCAAAGACCCCCCCACGTCAAAGCCATATGTAAAGACACAGCACATATCAGGACTGAAAAAACATCCGGGATACACAAATGAAGTACCCCCTGCCCCCCTTTCACTCTCCATTTGGCCATCTTGAATTTCACTGCCAGATCTCCCCAGGACCTTGTGTGTGGGCCCCTGAATCCTACAAGGATCATATTGCCCTTCCTCTGCACTCCCAGCTACACACACATGCGCTGAATTCTTAAAAAGCAGGCCCCGACAGAACCCTCATCATCTTTGCGACCTGTGTCCTATCTCCACTTACCTGGTTATCCAATTACCATACACACTGTGCAGCTACAACAAAACGTCCATCAACATCCACCCACTTCTATCCTTCTTTCCTACCCAGACAACATCTCTGGTGGTGTTCTGCATCCACTGCTGCAGATCTGCCACCACTAGTGGTCAGCTGGAAACATCCCAAACCACATTTTAAACCGTTTGTCTAAATCTTCCGCAGACTGTTGACTGGTCTGAGCCACATGCAGGCTGGGAGTACGGGAGGCCTGCATGACTCTATCACACTTCCTCCCTCCCTCTGTGTCTGGCTGCTTTACTCATCAATGTCCTGGCCTGTCCCTGCTAAGATATATGGAAGGGACACTAAAAATGCAGCTGTGATAAATGATGACAAGCCTAAACGCTTTGACAAACAGGTATCAGTAAATGTCTATCCCATGTGCCATTTGGCTTCATTTTAGCAGACATGAAGCAGGGAACCGGAGAAAGGCAGCAGACGCTTTAAGAAACCAAAGATATAGCTTTTAAGACAAAGCATGAAGATATTCTTAAGGTCAAGTACAATCCAAAAAAATATATTAGTTAACGTAGAAAATCTTGTGCCATGAATTAATTATTCTTTTGAATGTTCAATAAAAAGGTCAAGAGAAATGTTAGGGAAATATGTATCAACTCTGTTTTCTTGGGCCAATTATATGATTTTCAGTAGGGATGTCCCGATCACCTTTTTTTGCTCCCGATCCGATTCCGATCATTTGATTTTGACAATCTGCCGATACCGATTTTTCCCGATCCGATCTTTATGCAATGCATTAAGAGAGAAAAAAAGGTAACAGATAACGGCTGGTTATCCAACGCGATGAATTCAGCTATATTGGCTGTTATTTTGTTGGCCTTTTCACTGTTCTGGGGCAGTTTCTCTTTCCTTTTAAAAGTCTCTGAAAGTGTCCGTTGTTTCAGTGCCGTTACCTGAGTGGCCGCTGTGTACTCGTCATGTTGTTGTTGGTGTTTGTTTCTCAGGTGGCGTATTAGATTGGTCGTGTTGAACGTAGCTCTGTTCTTTCCACTACGTGGAACCTCCGCCTTGCAAACATTGCATCTGGCTGTTACACTGCCTTCGCTTTCAACTTTATAATACTTCCAAACTCCTGACATTTTCTCTTGTCCCGACTCCCGAGTCACCAGCTGAACGTAGCCTCTTGTTGAACTCGCCGACGCAACAGCGTCCTGCGTCTTGGCCATGTGTCGCACTGGAACACACCGCAAAGACTTCAGCCGAGCACGTACGAACTGAACTGCGCATGCGTGAGTGGCAATAACTCTCCTTACCAGCAGGCGGCGGTAGTGTGTATTCGTCATTCAAAACAGGCAACAACCGGAAGACAGAGAAGAAGAACAGACTACGTGATATGAAAAAAACAACAAATAGCGTGTGCGTTCCATTTTCACTCTCGTCCATCGAAAACATGTTTCGTGCGGTACTGGAGCTATCAGCCATTGGAGTGTTGCTTGTGGAAGACATTCTCAAGCAACCGTTTCACTTCTCATGCACTGATTCGCTAGCTGAACAGCCAATCAGAGTGATATCTTTGTCCGACTGCCTGTGGCTGACGCACGGCCGATTCAACATGTTGAATCGACCATGCGTCGGCCGTGCGTCGGCCATGAAAGGCCAAATAACGACGCATGGTCGATTCAACATGTTGAATCGGCCGTGCGTCAGCCACAGGCAGTCGGACAAAGATATCACNTTCTCTCTGCTCTTCTCTATCTCTCTCTCTTTGAAGTCCCTATGAAAACAGACCAAAGACCCTAATTTTCTGTAAAATCGTGGGAAAAACGGTGTGTCATTTATTCATGTTGAACTTAATTCAACGGTTGTTTTATGAATAGGAATTGTACTTTAGGTCGACAAAAGTGATACTTGAGACTTAGAGTGCACTCAACGAAACCAACTATAGTGTTACGTACGTCTCTCTCTCTCTCTCTCTCTCTCTCTCTATCCAACTATCAATCAATCTATCTTTCTGTCTATCTATCTATCTTTCTATCTATCTATCTATCCAACTATCTCTCATTCCCACTTCCTGTTTCCCCTGCGCCGCTCCTCATTGGCTAACGGTGTGTTGTGTGTATTTCGGACTCCAGGGCGACGTGGGTCTTCCCGGACCCAGCGGTACTCCGGGCGACGGTTCGCTAAGAAGCGAACAAACTCTCACTATCTACAAAGGAGATAAGGTAACACAGCCTAGGGAAGGATAGGAACAAACAAACAAACACACACACACACACACACACACACACACACACACACACACACACACACACACATTCACAATGGGATTTCATTACAAAAAGTGGTAAAGAGAATACCACAGCAGGCAGAAACTAAAGGTTCAAAGAGAAAGAGGAGCAGTGATTGCAGCAAACTTAACAGCCATGGAGGAACTGTGAAAAGGAGACTTTGGGAAGTGGAGGAGAGGTTGGTCCAACGTAGCATCAATCCTGATAATCCTCATCATATGGAGTTGCCCAAATGCACAATTTAAACCTTAGATTGTGGTTGAAAACTTCATAATCACCAAGTATTTGGATTATTTGTCAAAACTAATCTTTATGCAATAGTTCAATAGCCCTTTGACCTACCAAAATAAAGGCCTCCCTCATTAGAAATACAAGAAAATAAGAAGTAGTGCATTTAAATATTGTCCAAAAACCAAAACTACACACAATTGACTCCTCTCATTGATGTGTAACTCAACCAATCGGATCCTTTCTGCCTCCAGAGTTTCTTACATTTTGAAAATGTTTCATCCAGAGACCAGCCTCTCATCATCACCCCAAAATGTTCTCAGTCCGTTCACGACCTCTTAAGTGGCTCCACGGTCAAAACAGAGCCTGTCCTCCAGTCAACGTACCCCCACCTTCCCTATATCTTCCCTAAATGCCCCAAAAACTCTGCCGCATTACCCCTCCTTATTCCGCCGTTTCCCTCGCCACCTCATGATCAGAGTAAACAGATATCTCTTCCCTCGATTACGACATCCAGGGCGACGCGGGCTCACCCGGTGAACCCGGCCAGCCGTTGATCAATGGCATTGTGGAGTTTGTGGGTTTTCCCAAAGGAGACAAAGGACTACAGGTTTGTTGAAAAACGCGACTTCTTCCCCAAGTAGGATGAGCTGTGTAGAACATGGACAAATACAGCAGTGTGTCCTCTTATCTCACCGCGTTATCTTTCAAATCCAACATGATGACGTGACTTTGAGATAAAGGGATTCAAAGGTTCACTGTATTGGTGAAAGTTGAATTACTGTTTACACTGAAAAATGTCCAGCAGCTGCTAGAAAATGAAGAAATCTGCAAAAAAAAAGTTGAATCAAAAGTACTAAAAGCAATAGGTCAGTTCAATTGAAATGCCCACTATTTACATTGGTTATCACCTTGATGCTAATATTATAGACGTGATAATCTGACTGTTCCACCCTGGTTTCCTCAGCTTTTCGAGCCCTACACAATGTATTTTGAAGGAGTTAATGCCTACATCAGCGGCGTAGTTTTGGTTGTTATCGCCTTTCTTTTGAGTGAGATTTCACAGTTTCCACAGACTTGTAAAAAAGGTAAGTTAAAATGTGTAAATATTGCTTATAGTTTCAAAATGATTCTGTACTTATGACCACTTTTCTTCTCTCTCCGCTTTGCTTAAAGGGTATACCTGGTCCAAAGGGAATAAGAGGATTTCCTGGAAATCCTGGTCAACCTGTAAGTGTTTAAGGCGTTCCTCAAGGCTCTCCACTAGATCCTCTTCTATTCTGGATTTACTTCCAATTGGCAGATTAATTAACAATCATAAGATATATTTCCATGTGTCTATAAAAAAAAAGATCCCCAAGCAGACTGACTTCTTTAAAACACTTTTAAAACCTTGTTATGTGATTTATTTTCCCAAGAACCTTTGATTTTCTACGACGTTTTTGTAC